TATTTTTTTTTTCAATTTTGATATTTATTTACATGGTTTCATAATGCTTTCTGTCGTTCCAGGTATTTATCTTTTGACCCTTGGTTGGTGATTGTATTGCAAAGTTAGTTCTTAATGAACTAACTAATTATCAAAGGTTTGATCTTTATACACTGAATTGGTTGAAATTACGTTATTAACCTCTTTGGACGCAGGTGGTATACTTTTCTTGGAGGTTTGATGTGGGAAGTAAACATGTGTTGGAAATTGTTGTTTGTAGTCATCAATTAAAGCGAATGCAAAAATTTTGTTGCATTTGTAGGATGGAATTAAGCACAAGAATTATTTTAACAAATGTGTAACTACTCTTTTTTAATTGTTTTACAGTCTCTTGAAGACAAGCCCTGTTATCTGGTTTCATCAGCAGAAGAGGCTTGCTTATAATGCACAGGTAGTCTGATTGCATCTGTTTTTGTTGTTCATTTTGTAAATTGTTTTCGTTCCATTTTCCAATTAGTGTTTCAGTAGCATGCTTTTTAAGAAAATAAACATTTTAGGGATCATGGTGTTAGAAACATTGTAATTCTCAAAAATCTACTATGTCTTGATATCACATTAACAGACTTAAACATCCCCAATAACATGAGTTTATTTGATTTGAGTTAATCTTGCATGCTTTTTAATTATTTTAGGGATTTTCTTAAAGTGTAAGTTATATTTAGTGCTAAATGCAATAAACAACAACTTATTTTCTTTTGTTTGTGTAATATGTTAGGGTTGCAAAGTTATTCATTCATGACTTTGTAAATGTTTGACATTTTTTTAAACCCACTTGCATGTGGTGCTTTAGCCTTTAGACCCATTTGGTAGTTACAGTGAGAGAGAGACATGTAAACACCTTTATAAATAGTGGGTTCATACCACTTGTAGAGGTGTGCTGGAGAGATGTAGAAGTGAGTGTGTAAGTGTGTGTTAATTATGTAGTCTAGATCTAGATCCTTTTTGTAAACCATATACATTCAATATATCTCTTAAACACCCAAATCACCATGTTCAATTGTGCATGCTTTAATTCCGCATGTCAAACCATGTTCTTTGTCACTACAATTGGTATCAGAGCTTGGTTTTCACGATCAACGTGACTTTTGAAGAACGATTCTCGGTTTGGCAATTTTTGTCGCAATTTGATCAATTTTGGTGAGTCTCTCTATGATCTCTCGTAATTTCATTGAAATCGTGCGTTACGTTTTTAATTTGTGATCATTTGACTCGTTGGATCTAAATTTTTCTTTGAAAAACCCATTTGTTATGATCCAATAATTTTTTTGTTAATCAATTCCCAACCCAATTTTATATTCGTTTGTTCGATTCAAGTTTCAACTTGCATTTATTCGTTTCAATCAAAAACTAGTCCAAAATTCATTGTAATTCATTTGATATCTTGAGATCCCGATACTATTCATCGAGTAGCCCAAATCATCAATTAATTCAAGGTTTAACCCAATTCTCAATCCATTAGTATTGATTGGTTCATTCTTTAGCCCACATGATTTTTTTTATCTGATAATGTTGTTCAAGCCCAATTAACAATAAACGTGTTTGTCTCTTACTTGCTGTTCGTCATTAATTGTTCATCATACGTATTCATCATTTGTACATTCTTGGCGGTTCGTAGTTAGTATTTTCTTTCAGAGTTCTTGTAAATCGATTTCTTCTTATATTTCTTGCAAATTGATTACCGATTATCGTTGGTAAACTTGTGAATCGATTAGATTATTTGTGTTCAATCAAAATAATCGATTATGATCAAGTAAGAGTCAAGGAATCGAAAATTGGATCTTAGATTTTGATCAATATTGTCATGAACAGTTGAAGGAGATGAAGAACAGTTGAACAAACACATTTTGATCTAAAATTGGCCATCAGAATATTCAATTTCGTGTTCATAGTTTGTTGACTTTAAAAAGTCAAACTGTGAAAAAGATGAGATTGAAGTGATGAATCGATGAATTAGAGGTCGAAATTTGTTTATACAGGTTGTATTTGGGATGTGAATGTCGAAATCGGGTTTAATTTGGAGATTAATTTCGAAATTGGTTGGATTTGTTATACTGTTGACGAACAATCGATGGGAACGAACCGAGAACAGATGGCTCGATTGATTCGATGTTCGAAGGGTATGCTTGGAATGGATAATCGATGATTTGCGATTAATCAATGGATTTTGATAGTCGAACTGGTGATAGTCGATACTTGTGAATTTGCGATGTTTGGAGTTTAGATTTTGGAATGGATTCGCTTTTGGATGACGAGTTGGAATGATCGAGATTGAAAAACTGATTCAGAAAACTCGATTTTGGGATTCGCTTTTGGTAAAAGTTGCGAATTCGATTTTGAGTTTGATTTACTGGAAACTGGATTTGGAATTCGATGTTTGGAGTTGATTTCTTGCCTGGATGTTGATGTGAGGTTCTTTGATGATTTCGATTTGAGTTGTTGTGGTTAATTGATGATTCACATCTACAGGGAAGCGACAATTATGAATGTTTAATTGAAGGATTGGAGTCGATATTGCGAAGGATATATGGGAGTCGATGTTGATGATTTGGTTTCGCATGAACGTTTGCATCTCCAATTGCATCTGGGTAGTTCGCATCAAAATTTGGTTCGCATTTGAAATCAGTGGGTTTCGCATCTGATTTCACATTTGGGTTTCTCAGTCAAGTTCGCATTTATTTAATGCGAAGGGATGCGAAGGGTGTAAGAATGAATATGCGAAGCATGCGAAAGCTTTTAGAGTAAAATGCGAATTGGGGAAGAAAGCCAAGAGTTTCGCATTTGGTCCCTGCTCTTTTCAAGAAATAACACAAGTAACCCAACTTCGCAAGTTTGAAGATGCAGAAATTGTAAAAACGAATATCTGTAGTTTCGCATTTTTGACAGTTTATACCCAACTTCGCAAATGGGGTCATAAAATGATGAAATTGCAGATTTTCCAAATCTGATCCTTACAGTTTGTGCGAATTTACACATTTTACCCAGTTTCGCAAAAGGGAGTGTGTTTCGCATATTTGGCTGTTTTTGGCGCAACGGGTCACTGTAGAATTTTGAAATTGACAATTTCTACCCATTTTTGAGAAATTTTGTCAAAGGTGATCCGTGAACGGCAATAAAAATTGAATATTTTATGGGTTTTCTGGATTGAAGCACAAAGTTTATGCCACATGTTAAGGGGGAGTTTTGACATTAAAATTCCGAATAGAGCACGTTCTTTTTCCTTTGGAGTTTTATAATCAAATTTCGATTATAAAAAGGGGGAGAAGTTTTATATGGAAATTCGAACTTGAATTTTTCATATTACGCGGCTTTGAAGACTGAAGTGATCTTGAAGTTTTGAAGATTACGAGATGATGCAATTGGAATTTCGGAAGTGATGTATTCGAAATAGGTTTGGAATTATTGAAGATTTTTGGGGTGTGTTTTTATGCGCAATTATTGGGTGATTATTTGGAGTTTGGAATACTCTTAGTCATTCGTTGTTGCTCGGATTGTATGGTCTCACATCGTAGAGCCCAAATTGAAGAATCATAGAAGAATTGAAGATTGAAGTTCGTGTCGACACGTGTCACCTTTGAGGCTCGAACCGCGTAGTGCTTGATTTTGGAAGATTTGAAGTGGGTCATTCATTCCTAACTTTGAGGGGGAGAATGTTGGGGTTGCAAAGTTATTCATTCATGACTTTGTAAATGGTTGACTTTTGTAAAACCCACTTGCATGTGGTGATTTAGCCTTTAGACTCATTTGGTAGTTAGAGTGAGAGAGAGACATGTAAACACCTCTATAAATAGTGGGTTCATACCACTTGTAGAGGTGTGTTTGAGAGATGTAGAAATGAGTGTGTAAGTGTGTGTTAATTATGTAGTCTAGATCTAGATCCTTTTTGTAAACACCATATACATTCAATATATCTCTTAAACACCCAAATCACCATGTTCAATTGTACAAGCTTTAATTCTGCATGTCAAACCATGTTCTTTGTCACTACATAATATCCTAATAAGCAAGAATCTTCTAATAAGAAAAAAGCTAACTGTGCAATTGTTGGATAGATCTTTCACTTATTTACTTTTAAGATTGTACTTTTAATGAGAATACTGTTAAAAAAAACTTAAATTTTTTATTTGCAAGAGCCTCTTTATTCAACTGTGATGCTTGAACAAGCAACTTTACGTTGTTACTATTTATTTTAGCCAAACCAATTATGTTAAGAAATTATGGATTTCATCTCATTCTTTCTGGTGGCAATTTTTGTTTCTGGATCAAATGCTAATACTTTAATACATAAGTTTATTCTACTATTAGTACTTAAAGGATAGTTTTCATTACTGAATATCAATGATTTTGTAACAGTATTTAAATATTAATATATGAATGATTTATCTATCTTTTTTTAGTAATATTTAAATTTTGGCCCATAAGTGTAGCTGAATTTTTAAAATTTGATCCTTTATGAGGTTTGTAATTTTTTGATCTTTGTTTTTAGTGAAATGACATAACTTTGAGACCAAATTGCAGAAATCAGATAAGGAATTTTAGGTGTGTCAACCTTGTATTTTGGTACAATTTACTCATTTACCCTTTTGACTAGTTTTAAGTTAATCTGTTAATGATGACATGTAATTCTAGGTTTGGGCATTTTTCATGGGATCTTATTCATATGATTCAACGTACACAGAGAGGAGAGGCAGTATGTTGTCTTACTTAACATCAGAGTACATGACTATCAAAAACCAGTGACATCTAAATGTATTTCCAGAAATGCCCCTATGTTCCTAAAAGTCATGCTTGTGTATTATCTCCAGGAAATGATGGGATTAACATACTTTATGACATTGCTATAACTGGGTAGATTTTTTCAAGCACAATTCTATAATTGGAAAAATGAAACTACTTTAGTATTTCTTGCATTTAAACCAATATTAATGAATGATGTTCCTGTTTCAGATGTGAATGTTCCTAAGATGAAATATACATCCGATGATCAACCATCATACCCTGTTGGTGTAATTTGTGTGTGTACTACAAAGATGAAGTGCAAACGTATGCTATATGAATCGGTGCTTTTTAGGGAAGTGACAATCATCACCCTTTTTGTCCACCAAAACCAGATGATGTTACAATATGTTATACAAGCGGACACCAAAAGGTTTGTATTTCCTTTTCACTTATGTTTTTTCTTTTCAAGTCTACTATAGTTGAATTTTTTTTTAACATAACTGGAATTTATTCCTTTTTTTACATAGTTAGGGGACTATACTTTTCCATGGAAACCCGATTGTAAATGTTTTTTTTTCTAGTAGAAGTCTTGAAATTAAGTATATGCCAATTGTTTCAACATTATTTTGTTGTAATATAATATTGCCCATGCTTATTTCAGTTATATGTATCTTATCTTCCTTTAGCATACATGTATGAAAGGTCCAACCATATCATATTGGCGTACTATGGTAGCTCAGCTGGATTTTATTAAAGAGTAAGAAACAAAAATGTTATGTTTTTTCTGAATTAAGTTCATGATAATGATTTTTTTAATTGTACTTAATCACATAATGGCAAAACTGATGTTTCTTTATTACTTGCTTACTGTATTTTCATTCGTGTAGGATAACTTGAGACCTTACGCCTAGTAATTCCTACAAAAGATTCTTGTTATTTGGCTGATCCTTTTATTTTTTTAAATGTGCTTTTATTTAGCAAATTAGGACATCAGGGAAGGGAAATGCCACATGGTGTGGTCTTTTGTGGGTTGAAATATTAAAAACAAGTGGTCAATATAAAGAGGATGTCCGTTTTTACCTTTGTATAACTGATGAGGTAACAATCAATTCTCTTTTGTGATTAAAAATATTATATATGAGAAAGTTGTTAAAAAATCATTTTTTTGAATTAAATTGTTACATTTTCTTTCAACCAAACCAATCATCTTAAAAAAGTTTGGATTTCATATCGTTTTTTTCTGGTGGCAATTTTTGTTACTTGATCATATATTAATATTTTAATAAATAATTTTGTTTTACTATTAGTATTTAATAGATAATTTTCAATTTTGAATAACAATGTTTTTGTAACAGAAAATAAATACAGTATATAAATGATTTTTCTATCTTCTTTTAAGTATTTTTTAAATTTTGGTCCCTGAGTGTAGCTTTTTTTTTTTTTTTTTTTTTTTTTCAATTTTGGTACTTACAATATGCAAGTTTTTCAATATAAAAACTTGACATAAGTTGTCTTTGTTTATGCTGCAAATGTATCAAACTGCAGTTAATGTCAATCAGGTCCTGATGATGTGTATCACTCTTCTGTAGAAGCCAGATTTTGTATTAGTTGCTAATCAATCAATTTGACATTTCAGTTGTTGATCTTTTTGTCAATTGTCACAGATAACTATTATGCATCCACCCTTATAATTCACTATCAGAGACAAAAGGCACAAAAAGATAAAGATTCCAATGGGACAAAATGCCAATTGTTCACATGCTCGAACCAGATGTTATTGGTGTACTATGGTGGCTTAGTTGGATTTTATCAAGGAGTAAGATTGTAAGAAACTCAAAATTTATGTTCTGTTTGAATTATTTTCAAGATAATGATTTCCTTACTGTACTTCATGACATCATGACAAAACTGATGTATCTTTTTGACTTAATGGGCAATGTATTTTCATTCATGTTTGAAATTGTTGGATGAGATGATGGTGGAATTGAGTGAGACCTATTATGTTCCACGATTATGTAACATAGTATATGATATGATGGGAATGATAAATTTATTGTATTTTTCAATTTGAGTGGCTTATTGATGCTCAATTAGGTTTGTGGTTGTTGCAGTGTTATGAATCCAGATGACTAGTCATATGGTGCTCATAGAGAAAGATTGTTTAATGTTGCATTTAATCCGAAGATGCAAAGATTACTTAAAGGTAACTTTGAGTTCCAATAAGGGTGTTGGGTTATTATGCCTTTCTGTTACGAAATTATGAACTTTGCTTTATCAAATCACCGCTTTCTATCCACTGATTACAAGTCTATGACCCTATTTGTGTATTTCCAGAAATACCCCTTTGTTCCAAACTCATGCTTGTGTATTATCTATCTTCAGGAAATGATGGGATTAACATGCTTCATGTAGAATCAATAATAATAATAATAATAATAATAATAATAAAAGATGTTGAATATTGCATGGAAAATGCCTCCAGCACTTATTTAGTATGCCTGGTAATTCTTTACAAAAGATATTTGTTATTTAGTCAAGTCTTTTATTTATTTAAAATGTGTGATTTTATTTAGCGAAAATGGGACATCAAGGAAGGGAAATGCCACATGATGTAGTCTTTGGTGGGCTGAAATGCTAAAAACAAGTGGTCAATATATATATAAAGAGGGTGTTGGTGTTTACCTTATCAACATATAGATTCTTCCCCATGTTATATGAATTTCTGAAGATTGTAAGCGAATCTTAAAATATGTATTTCAATTGCTAATATGTGGTTATTAGATTGGATAACTGGAGCAGTCAAGAGCATCTAGAAATCTGGAAAAAGGCTAAATAACCATATACGATGCCAAGGTAAGAAACCAAATTCTACTTTGCTGATTACTTAATAATATACATGCAAGATGTCTAATATGGTAATAATAAAAAAAATTCTTTTCCATGTTTCCTCATGACTTTGTATTTTGTAATTGAATGCTATTTAGATGCTAAGGTATAAAAACCTTATATTAAGACAGTTTAATTTTATTATTTTTCCTATCAAGTCACTATACTTTGATAAATCAAACATCTTGCCAATTATAACAATGCAGTTCAATTTTTTCGACAACTATTTTTCCTTTAAGACATTGTACATTTAATTTTTTTTTATTAACACATTGCATTTTGAAAAATCTAACCCATTAAGACTTGTATTTTGAAAATATGAACTTGTTTCATTTTGGTTAACAATTATAGCATTTTATATTCAAAATATTTTAAACATTGTACTTTCAACTTTTTTTTTCTTATTAAGACAGTGCACTTTGAAAATTTAACATACTTAGATATTATACTTTTAAGATCTAAACAATTATAACAAACCTCAAGGATAATGTGACCTTTCATCCAACTCAATATGCCACAGAGAGGATCAAACAAGGCTCTTCACTATTTATGGAAATGACCTATTCCTCTGAAGTATTATTTTAGTTTTTTGTAATGTATGTATGTATGTATGTTCTATTAGATTGTTTATTATTGTAGTAAGATAATACCTCTTTTTGACTTAATAGACATGGATACCTTAAAAAAGCTAAAGCTTAAATCCGTGGTTGTCTGAGAAAGGTTAGTTTTGTCCTTTAAGTTACAGTCTTTTGTGCTATAATTTGATCTTGTTTTCATTGTTATTAACATCTATGAGGTTTTCATATGCATTTGTTTATGCCATAAGGCAAAATATATTTCTCTTTTGACCCTTGGTTGGTGATTGTATTGCAAAGTTAGTTCTTAATGAATTAACTAATTATCAAAGCTTTGATATTATAAACTGAATTGGTTGAAATTATGTTATTACCCTCTTTGGATGCAGGTGGTATACTTTTCTTGGAGGTTTGATGTGGGAGGTAAACATGTGTTGGAAATTGTGGTATGTAGTCATCAGTTAAAGCCAATGCAAAATTTTTGTTGCATTTGTAGGATGGAATTAAGCACAAGAATTATTTTAACAAATGTGTAACTATTCTTTTTTTAATGTTTTACAGTCTCTTGAAGACAAGCCCTGTTATCTGGTTTCATCAGCAGAAGAGGCTTGCTTATAATGCATAGGTAGTCTAATTGCAATTGTTTTTGTTGTTCATTTTGTAAAGTGTTTTCATTCCATTTTCCAATTAGTGTTTCAGTAGCATGCTTTTTAAGAAAATAAACATTTTAGGGATCATGGAGTTAGAAACATTGTAATTTTCAAAAATCTACTATGTCTTGATATCACATTAACAGACTTAAACATCCCCAATAGCATGAGTTTCTTTGATTTGAGTTAATCTTTCATGCTTTTTAATTATTTTAGGGATTTTCTTAAAGTGTAAGTTATATTTAGTGCTAAATGCAATAAGCAACAACTTATTTTCTTTTATTTGTGTAATATCCTAATAAGCAAGAATCTTCTAATAAGAAAAAAGCTATATGTGCAATAATTGGATAGATCTTTCACTTATTTACTTTTAAGATTGTACTTTTAATGAGAATACTGTTAAAAAACTTCATTTTTTTTGCAAGAGCCTCTTCATTCAGCTGTGATGCTTGAACAAGCAACTTATTGTTGTTACTATTGTTTGATTCCAGTTGTCAATTATAGTTCAATATTTTTGACAACTATTTTTCCTTTAAGTTAATTGTACTTTCTACTCTTTTTCTATTAAGACATTGTGCATTTAATTATTTTCCTATTAAGACATTGCATTTTAAAAATTTGAACTTGTCTTATTTTGGTCAACATTTATAGCATTTTATATTCAAAATATTTGAAGTTGATCAAGAAAGGCTCTTCACTGTTTATGGAAATGTCCTGTTCCTCTACAGTACTGTTTAAGTATTTTGTTTGAATTTTTGCTACTTATTTCATGGTTTCATAATATGTTTGGTAGTCACCTATATGTTAAATTTATAAAAATGGCAACATCTCTTTACCAATAATTAGCAATATGTAACAAATAAAATACATTTTGCTCATTTTAGTAGGGAAATAAAAATATGTTGCTATTACAGGTAAAAGTATATAAGTATTTTTCTATTATGGATAAAGAATAAAGTATATTATTGCTTTTATCAGTAAAGAAATTTAAGTACGTTGCTATTTAGGGTATAAAATATAAGTACATTGCTTCTATTGGTAAAGAAATGTAAGTAAGTTGCTCTTTTTGGTAAAAAAAAAATAGTGCATTGTCTATATTCAGTGTAAACAAAATAAGCAAGTTGCCCTTTTGTGTTCTCATATATTCAGTGTAATGTTATTTTTGTTATTCAGAGGTCAAGCCTTTTGGATTATGAAGGCTGAGCCACGGATCCAGATGCATTAAAAAACAGAATATTCGATGAGGGAGTGGAACACTTGCGAAAAAAGAGGCTTTTATATTACGGTACAATTTACTCATTTACCCTTTTGGCTAGTTTTAACTAAATCTGTTAATGATGAAATGTAATTCTAGGTTTGGGCATTTTTCATGGGATCTTATTCATATGATTCAACATACACAGAGAGGAGAGGCAGTATGTTGTCTTGCTTAACATCAGAGTACATGACTATCAAAAACCAGTGACATCTAAATGTCTATTTTTCCCTCCAACTTCTATCACCTTGACCCACATATTATATTTATTGCAATTTCATGTTGCAGAGTATTTACCTGGAAAATGATATTTTTTGGATACCCCAGGGGACAGACAATAGTATTACTCCTTCTACATACAATTATTATCTTGGTTATTTCCGGGTAACATGCCACTACTATTTATAGACTAAATTACAATTTCATCCTTTTGATATTTCAAAAGTTATGGTTTTCATCTAAATATTTCATTTGTTGCACAGGTGGTCAAATTGTTGTAAGGTTTGTCCCTGGTACTGAACTGCTGATGGTGTTGCAAAATGTCCGTGAAGGCAATAGTTTCTTCCTCAGATGTTGTTAGTGTTTATGATGAACTATCTGCTTCTTTTTGCTTCTTCGTATGTGAAGGTCCATCTGTACAATAAAAAGACAGTAATAAGTGTTAATGTTTTTTTTTAATAGAAAAATGAACTCATGATCTATCAAGTAAGGAACAACCAGGTAGGATCATATCGGAGGTAGGTCTGTTTGGTATACAAAGTATACTGTTTGGAAATCCCACTTTAAACACCTCACTAAATCATAGCCTATACATCATCCCCGTAAGCAGATTAATCAGTATAACGACTTGGAATCACTGATAAATCTTGTTTATAGGTTCATAATAATGATAATGAACTTAAACATAAATTATACTTAAAGTAGGGTAAGCATAACTCACTTACCGGGGGTTTGGCTAGGAGTCGGGCTCTACAGGGGTGGACAGAACTTCTGAGCCAAAATCTCTTCTTCTCGGAGCCTTTTGGCGCTCCGGGACTCACCTCTAGCACTTAGAAGTTGCTAGGAAGGGGGAGAGGGTTTGGGGGTAATGGGAGAGAAAAGGTATGAAAGGTGTGAGTTTTGGGGGTGATTTACGCCTCTATTTATAGGTTGTATGGGCCTTCTCACTTCGTGAAACAAGGTGCTCACGTCGTGATCCTTGCTTATACACCAAGGCGAAGTCTGGTGCTGACACGTGACGTCGGATGCAAGTAAAACAACCAATCTTTAAAAATTCACAACTTTTACATACAAACTCCGTTTTATACGTTATTTATATCCACACGTAGGTAAAGACAAGATCTACAACTTTCCTTTTGACTCCATCAGCTAATTCTTGACCAATTTTAAATTTAGCAGTATGAGAAGATTACACTATTAAATGAACGCATAAAATTCGTAACTTCTTCATATGGACTCCATTTTCATCTATCTTTTTATCGTTGAGTTCCTATTAATGAGATCTTCAACTCTCATTTAGGTCGCGTTGGCCAAAAACCGCTCGATCTAAAATTCGAATTTCGAGTTGTGCACTACTAAGCCAAATCTTAGAAAAATCATAACTTCCTCATACGAAGTCAGATTTGACGTTCTTTTTATGCACTCTCTTGATTTAACGTATACTACGACTGATATTGCCATATTTATACCTATTTATCAAACTGTTTTACCTCAAATTGTCTTACAAACTCCTTAAATGGTCAAATACTTTTACTTAAACTCTTTTAA